ATTTATTTAAATTTAAACAAATACAAAAAAAAATAAAAAAAATATATATATATATATATATATATATATATATATATATATATATATATATATATATATATATATATATATATATAAAAAAAAAATATATAAAAAAAATATATATATATATATATATATATATATATATATATATATATATATATATATATATATATATATATATATATATATATTTTTTTTTTTATGTATTTTTATTTTATATATATATAATTTTTTTATATATATAAATTTGGATAATTTTATTTATATTTATATATAAATATAAAAAAATGTTAATATAACACCATGATGTTTTTTATTTTATTTTAGTTTGAATTAAAGTATCAAAACAAGCAAAAATAAAATAAATATTAATTAAGTAAATTAAGTTTTTATTTATTTTTTTATTTCAGCTTTTTAAGACAAAATTGCTAAATTTTTATAAATATTTTGCTGAAATGATACAGACAAATACTTTACGAATAATACAAAAAACACTAATATGATATGAATACATTTTGCAAGTATATAAAAAAGTGTCTACTTTAAAATTTCTCTACATTAAAAAATGACAAACAGAAAAATGTATCCTTGAAACTAAACACTGCTGCATATGAGAGCACGGATTAACCAAAACTGTAATAATTGACATCACTGATCATCATTCAGATGAAGGGTAACAGTGAGGCTGCATCTGAAACCGCATACTTCCATACTATATAGTACACTAAAATCAGTACGTGAGCCGAGTAGTATGTCCAAGTTCATAGAATTCGAAAATCAGTATGCGGAAGTTACTACTTCTGGCGAGATTTTGAAGTGCACATCCTATGCACGCTGCGCTATCCCATGATGTCCCGCGAGCGAATTCATGAATGGGAGTAAAGCGGCAAATGACGCAGGTAGGTCACGTGACCATGACAAAATGGCGGATGTAGTACGTCCGAATTCCATTCATACTGCTCACATTCATACTGTATAGAACACACTTTTCTAACGGCCGAGTAGCACGTTTAAATTCAAACGCAGTACCTACTGAGTAGTAGGCGGTTTCAGACGCAGCCTGAGTCTCTCAAACAGTGAATGATTTGAGTTTGGCCATTCGTTAATGATTACAGTGTGTTTGCGCTGTGATTCATGCAGCTCAAACCTTCTTTTATTTCTCTCCAGTCAAACAGACAGCCTGTAAAAGAGGGAAGGACGAGTTATTGGAGGACTGAGGGGGTTTCTCTGCTTTTATTGGAGGATTGAGTTTGTTTTTCTGCTTCTCTCTGCAGAATAAAGTTCAACAGGGGATACACGGCACTGAGCCAAACTGGAGAAGATTCGCTCATCTCGCTGGACTCAGACAGGTGCATGATGTCACTTCCACCTATTCCACCATTTTTTACTAGATGTAAAATGCGTCTCTGCTGCATCTAGAGTGTGTGTGTGTGTGAAGTTTCAGCTAAAAACACACACACAGATAATGTTCTAGCTCTCTAAAACTGACCCTTTTATTCTTTGATCCATGTGGTGTTTTTTTGACTGTCGCTTTAAATTCAAATGAGATTGTGCTCTTTTCAGAAGAGGGCGGAGCTATGCAGCAGATTTGGAATCCATCCAAACACTTCAATGGCTGCTTTTCACTTAGGGCTGCTGTTTATGCTAATGAGGGAGGGATTGGCACTAGTGGGCGGGGCTTTCCCCCTCTGATGACATGTACAAAGGGAGAATGTCAGAGTCAGGGAGAATCAGAGTGTTTCATTCATCAAGTCTGATTATAATAAACACAATTAATACATGTTTAGCATTAGAGTCTGGAGAAATTCACACACTGAATTTATAAATCAATATACGGTGAGTTTTTGATTTCTGTTTAGAGTAAATAGTCAGGAAGTGGAAGTGAACTGATCCTCTAATGTGTATTTAGAAGAGCCGAACAGACTGGATAGCCTATTATTGAGCACTGCAGGGTTTTTTTTTTTTTTTGCATTGATGAATGAATTGTGTTGTGATTGGCTGATTGTGTTGTTGTTGTTGTGTTTGTTCAGTGATGCAGAGCTGGATTGTTCATCTGGATATTCTTCAGCAGAGGTCAGTTAATGACTAGGCTCATTGGTAAACGGCTAGTTAGTCCACTTACAATTAATAATCTGAACATGCATTGATCAACAATGTAATAAAAATGATCAGAAGTTGCTTCCCACATAAAAAATAGTATAGTAATTAAAGTTCACAGCATACTGTACCATTAACTATAGTTAGAAACTGGAATAAATACTGTAGTATACTTTAGTGTTTACTACAGTAAACTGTGGTGTATTGTAGTATAATATACCATATAGTTGTTGAA